CTCGCCCAATGGCATCGTACAGTGATGTATTATTTTCGCAGATGGAAAGCGAAACCCAATTAATCATTCTGAACTAGTGTATATTTAATATAAAAAAAATTTTTTTTCTATCGACTCGTTCATATACACGAACCCTGTTTTTTGATCTTTCTACAAGTATGTACCGTATGTGAATGCATACTCTATAAATGAAAAGTACTCTATTGTAGAAGATATTTTTTTTTTCCTCCTTGTGCGTTCATATGTACTATCCTTCAATTATTTTGTAAATAAAGACAACGAGTTTAATAAAGATTATTTTCTTTTTTTTTTTGTTAACCAATCCGACTAATGGTGTAAATTCTTCGTAGACTGTGTCCTACGTAAAAATTTCGTCTGCGGTCGCCTTTGTTTTATGTTAATATTTTTGTATACTTGATAATTCAATTTTAATACACTTTTTTGTCGCGCTTTAATAATTTCCCTTCACCTTGTATATCTCCTTTATACACTTACTGTTAGTTTAGTTTTGTAAAATATTCGCGAAAATTTCTGAACTTGGTTAACTAGGTTCTCAAAATCATTTACTATTGTACACAGTTGGTAATTAAATTTTTTTTTTGGGTTATATAGCCCTTTTAGTAACGCGGTGATTCATTTTTTTTTTTTTTTTGATTCGCGTTCTGTTAATTATAACTCTCTCTATTAAATAGTTTATTTGAGGTTTTTTTTTTTTTGTTTGGTAGTTATTAGTTTCAATAGCTTTTTTTTCTTCAACAAAAAACAGATCCATTTTTTATAATTAAATTAATATATAAAAAGAGGACAAGAAATATTTTTATTATATTTAAAAAAAAATTTCTTTTGTAAATAATGACAATCAAGGGCAGACAACTTTTTGTTGGTAATGTGAGTATAATTTTTATTAATTATTGTTTGAATTAAATTACAAACTTACAATATAATGTATCTGTCTTTTTCTTTTCAAAATACATTGTGGATAAAGCTTCCATATGTAGGTTAGTGAAACAAAAAAAAACGCGAATGATGCATTTATGAGCTTAATGCAATTATTTTGATTGGTTATCGTAATTTAAAATCAAGACTAATAATAAATTGCGTTTATTTTTACAAAATTAACTGAAATAGTTGGTTGGCAAGATTTAAAGGTTAATAAGAATTATTTATTATTTGAGATATTTTCTTTTATTTTCTTAATTAACTTTATGGGTTAATTTTATTAGGATTTATTTAGAAAAGCCGGCAGTGTACAACGTGCAAACATCATATTAAGTCGTGACGGACGGTCGAAAGGACATGGTATTGTGCTCTATGCAACAGTCGCGGACGCGCAAAAAGCCATATGTAAGATGATCTAATATATAAATTTTATCAAGCAAATTACTTTATATTATTTAATGTAATAGTTTATAAATTGGAATATAATTAGAATTACGCATGAATTTGACTCGGAATTTTTAAAGAAATTTCTTTAATATTAATATTTGACCTTATGATTTTATTATGATATAACAGCAGAATTTGATGGATATGAATGGCATGGTAGAAAGTTAGAAGTTAGAGAAGTAAGTGAACTATTAAAAATAAACAAATATATATTTTTTTTTGATTGAATTAATAAATATATAAATTATTATTTCATAGGATCGTAGTGCTATGGATTTCCCTCCACCTCCACCACGTACAGAGGGTGTTAATAATATTAATCAAAACGAGGTATTTTTAATTATTATTTCAAGTTTTTATATTAAAAAAGGAAAATTTTTCTTTTATTAATAATTTTTATGAAATACATTTTTAGGAAAATGATAAAATTACTTCAACCAATGGTTTAACAGTATCGGCAAATTCGAATGATATTAACGTCACATCCTCATCAACCACAACATCACCGGTAGACTATTCCATCACAAATAATGAAATACTTAACGTGAATGGCACAACAAATATTAATGGGACTACGAATGGTGTAACAACATACAGTGAAGAACACACTGTTAATAATTCCAATAATACCTCTTCGACTCTGCAAAGACAATTGTTTGTTGGAAATGTAAGTAATAAATAAATAAATATGTGTGAATTGTGTGAACTATAAATTTATTCTGATCATTATTTTCTCGTAGCTACCTTTTCGTGTTCGATGGCAAGATTTGAAAGACCTGTTTAGAGAAGCGGGGACAGTCATACGTGCAGACGTTGCGATGGGATATGATAATAGGTCCAAAGGTCACGGGACAGTATTATTTGCCACTCTTGAAGAAGCAAAAAATGCGATTGGTAAAGGCTTTTATAATTATTTACGCTACATATTTATATGATGGTCAATATATATATATAATAATTCTTATTCTTAATCAAATTAGCCATGTTTAATCAAAAAAACTGGCAAGGTCGAATCCTGGAAGTGCGAGAAGATCGAGGATTCGTTGATCCAAATATCCAAAATAACATTAACGGTCATCCCTATCACCACCATCAACATCATTCACAAGATCATTCACGTCGGGTCATTGATCATACAAACCATAGTCACACCCAAACTCCTTATGGACCGGGTGGCCCTATGATAGGCCTTTTCTATGGAGTAAGCATTATAAAAAAATGTATATGACCTAATTTAATCAATTTAATTAACATTTTCTTTTTGTTATTATAATATTACAGCCTAGAGTTCAAGCTCCCCAGCCAAATTACGCCGGGAGATTACTTTTTGTTGGAAATGTGAGATTTTGAAAATTTGTTGTTTCTTTAATATAAAATACGTGACCTTATATTTAATTTAAATTGTAGCTACCGTTTAATTGTCAATGGCAAGACCTAAAAGATCTTTTCCGTAATGCTGGCAATATTATTCGAGCTGATGTTTCAACTAATTTCGATGGACGAAGTAGAGGTTTTGGCACGGTACTATTCGCAACACCCGAAGATGCCAGGAATGCTGTCGGTAAGAAGGAAAAACACACGTTTTTTATTTAATTATAGTTTGAGAAGGTTTTTTTTCTAAAAATGAAATGCATTAAATTAGGGATGTACAACGGTTATGAATTTCAAGGAAGAACTTTACGTGTTCACTTTGATAAATTTTCATTACCTCCTTTACCGCCGCATCATCATAATCCACCACCGCATCCAGCACATTTGCCACCTCCTGTACATCCACATCATAGACCTCCACCGCTTATATCAAATATCCCTCATCATAATTTTCATTTAGGTCCTCCGCCACCAATTCCTCATCATTTTATGCCTCCAGCTCATATGGGACCTTTTTCTCCACCTTTAACAACACCTTCATTGACTAGTCCTCCTCCGTTTCCTGTTTCATATAATCCATTAGCACATTTAAACAATCATCCAAATGCCAACACTAATGCTTCTTCGCCATTTCAACCTATCCAACCTATCCCAATCGTTTCTTCAGCTGGTTCTATACATGGAATCGGAACTAATTCGCAGCAAACTTCTACTCAATCGTCACAAAGTGTTCAAGATCAACCAATTGTGACGCCAGCAACGCAATTTCCAGGGTTTGGTCCAATTGGAAAAACTCATCATTCTCCTCAATCGACTGTCACATCATCCCTTTCAAATTTAGGCGCAGTAGGGATTTTCCCGGGATCATCATCAAATACGAGTAATGGAATTGCAAATAATAATGGAATTAATGGAACAACAGATGGCAATAATATTAATTATAATTCTGGAAATGACAACACGATTCACAGTTTAACATCAACTTTTGCAAGTTTACATCTTAGTCCTCTTGGTCAAGCTCCACAATTATTTTATAATTTTCATCCTCATCCTCATCATCGTCATCCGGTGATTCCAACAGCTTACCATCCTCATCATCATCATCAGGTAGCCGCAGCAGCTGCGGCTCATCATCATCAACAACATCATCACCACCATTCCCATAGTCAACACCCACATCATCATCATCCTGGTGCTATCGGTAGTGGAATTGGTGGAATAAATGCTCATGTTCATAGTCAAGCAAATGGAATTTCCGACCCCCCAGTTTCCGTTACAACAACGTCTGCGTCTAATGGATTAGGTAGCGTTGTTCATCCACCATCATCCTCTTCTAATGTAGCCAAAGAAACTGATAATGGTAGTAAAAATGGTATTGTAGGTTCAAGTTCTACCACGACAGAAGCAACCAATAACTCGGTAAATAACAGCAATAATTCATCCAACTCTTCTGTTCCTACTTCAATTGTTGTTCCATCTCCAGGTTTATGGGATAACAGCACGTCAACAATGTTATCTACTGCAACAGCAGTATCGAATGGACCCAATGGGACTGCTAACTCAGGTAGTGTAATTAGCATAGGGATGACATCATCATTAACTGGAATGGGTGGACTTGATAGTCCAACTGTCCCTCTGTATTTGTAAGGGAATATAAAAAGTTGTGGATTGGGAAATGGATCGTTGATAACATACTGGATATTTTTTTTTTTTATATTTTTGATTTTAAATATTTTAAATATTTTGAAAATATGGATGAAATTGAGATTAAAAAATGGTAATAATGGTTTAATAATGGTTAAATATGTCAGTTGTGATTTAGTAAATGCTTTTTTTGGAGCAAGATGGTGGTTTTTTCATAGAATTATATATATTTGGGAACATTTTTTTCGTTACAATGTTTTTTTTTTCAAAATTATAAAGTTTTTTTACTAACATTTTTCAAATTTAGTTATTGCTTTCAAAAATGAACATTATTAGCAAAAAAAAAAAAAATTTACATACAAAAAAAAGATTTTATATACAGTAAAAAAATGATTACAAAATTAGATTAGATTTGTACCTTTAAAAAAAAATTTTTTTAATATATATACAATTTCATAATTTATTTATTTATTACCGATTTAAAAATTTTTTAATATTTATTATATATTGTAAAAAATCATTGACGTTTTTAGTTGACGTTAGAATAAAAATATTCTAATTTTATCAAATAATATTATTTTTGAATGAAACCAAGAATTGCCTTCTTGGCTCAGTTGGCAGAGCGTCTGCCTAGTAAGCAGAAGGTCGTCAGTTCGATTCTGGCAGAAGGCATTTGATTAATAATTTTTTTTTTTTTTTTTTTAACGGCGCAAGATTTGTGTTTGTTTTCAATGGAGCAATACGCCAAAATTTTAATTTAATTTAAACCGATTCATTTTCAAATTTTCAGTTTTTAAAAAAAAACCAAAATGAAAGGTGTTAACTACCAAATGTTATATAATAAGAAAAAACATTTTTGTGATTTACTCAGTGTTAAATTTATAATATTAATATTATTTCTTACAGTATCACTTTGTGTTTTATTTTTATTTGCTATTAATGATATAGCAGAAAATAATATTCCTGCTAATACACATAGTTTTGAACCTCCTAGCATTAATTACACTTTACTTAATAAACTCGCAACTCCCTTTTCTCAAAAAAATTTGATTTTTATCGGAGATGTTCATGGAGCATTCGATGAACTTTTGAAGTTAATAAATAAAATTGATTATGACCCTTTAAAAGATCATTTGATTTTTGTAGGTGATTTAGTAGCAAAGGGACCAAAATCCATTGAAGTTGTTCGATTGATTCGTTCTTTGGGAGCTAGTTGTGTACGTGGAAATCATGATGATAAAGTTTTGAAGTGGAAAAACTTATTAAATTTTTTAGATTCCAGAAAGATCGAATTAAATGAATATATTAAGGAGCATAATATATCCGAAGATATCGTAAAATCTGAACATGGATTATTAGCAAAGTCAGTCATGACAAATTCATGATAAAATTTTTGTTAACTATGTATTAAATTTTATGATTTAATATATATTTTTTCATATTGTTAATTGTTAATTTTTCTTATAGGAAACTTGACGTAGAAACTTACAATTATCTTCTTTCTTGCCCTATTATTTTGGACATTCCAGAATATAATTTATATGTCGTTCATGCTGGTTTACTACCAGATGTTCTATTATCTGAACAAGATCCTTCTGACATAATGAATATGGTATTATTATTATTATTATTATTATTTTACGTTTATTTTAAATATACTATTCCACGCTTTTTTTTCATTTTGATGATTTTTTTTTTAGCGTAATATTAAGGGCGACGGTAAACCTTCGAAGAGCAAAAATGAAGGTCATGCTTGGAGCAAATATTGGAACGCAGTACAGGAGAAATCTTCTTCACCTAGAACAGTAATTTACGGTCATGATGCTTCGAGGGGATTGAAAATAAAACCTTATAGTTTCGGACTTGATTCAAGATGCGTATACGGTGGAGAATTAAGTGCATTAATATGGAATGATAATAGAGAAATCAAAAGTGTTAAATGTAAACAATATGACAGTTAAAGATTCATTTTGAAGGAAATATACTGTTTACAATTGTTTTATTTTTAATTAATAGTTAGAACTCATTTTACACAGACTTTTATATTTGTTGATTTTCTCACTTTTTCAATAAATTTTACTTAGCAAACCATTATCTGTGAAATTTTTAGATTTATTGGGGAACAATTCTTAGGCTATATAAAGAAACATTTGTGTTACACAAAATTAATAATTTTTAAGATCAAGATTAACGTAAAGGACTAAATTGTAAATTTTATTTCATACGTAATGTCAGTTACTGTCCCGGAATATATTGACGCTTTCGATGCACGTTTGTATTTCGTTAGTTCTCTCAAGAAACTTAGTGTGAGCCAACAGACAATTCTCAAGTGCAGAAGTTTTGCACTCCGATACACGGACTGGTACGAAGATTTGTATCGCTGTATAATCGAGGTCATGGAAGGTGGTAATGTCTGGTCGCGAATGTACCTTCTTTACTTCTTAGATAGTCTCATAGAAAGGTCTGAGCTTGTAAATTTTAAAGGATATACTGAATTTATCCTTGAAGATATTGAGAAAATCGTTGGCTTAGTCTGCAAAAAGCCCGAAGGGTCTGTTAATTTAGTGAATACATTAAAAACACTGGAAAGATGGCAGAACAAAAAATTTTTTGATCCTAATGTCATCGGGAAAGCCAAAGCTTCATTATTGGCGTGGAAGTCAGAACCTGAATACCCGCCAGAATTAATCCTTACTGGAGCTGAAATAAAACAAAGAATGGAAGACGATAGAGAAAGAGCTAAGCTCCTTCGAGAAGATAGTTGGTGGGTTGATAAAAGCATAGAAGATGGAGAAGCCTTAGCTTTATGGGAAGAAACATCGGATCTTGATGAAGGAGACTACTTAGATATTATAACGGAAAATATTAAACAAGATCCTAATTTTGAATGGAAGAGCTTGTATGAAGAAGTAACAGCATGGAATAAAGAACAGACTAAACTTGAAAAAGAACTTGAAAAAGAAGATGAAAGAATAGCTGCAATGAATTATGATTTTGGTAAGTTAATCTTTGTTAAAGATTTTATGTAAAATAATTTAATCCCTATCTTATAATAGAGCCTGTAATACACACCGACTTGCTTAGTAAGATCCCAAGACCAGATCAAGTAAATTCTGAAAAGTATAAAGATCAGGTTTCTAAAAACTCAGAAGTACCAAGTAAAATACCAAGACTTAGGAAGGTACCTTCAAATATTCTGATTAATATGAATTCTGAAGAAGAGTCACTCCATGAGACTAAAGAGAAGATTTCTGAGTTTGAGTCCATGATAACGTCAGCATCATCGACGTTCGTAGCAACGCCCATAATAAATGTAGCATCCATAGCCGAAAATCGAATTAAAGTTAACAGTTCTGTCCCGGCTATTGTTATTTCACCTCCTAATCAAACAGAGATTATACCAATCTCTCCGGAAAAATCAGGAACAAAAAGAATACATGGTGCCGATGATACCTTTCCGGGCATATCTGATGAACAGTCCAAACCAAAGAGAGCTCGTCCTGCTCACGAAGATCCTTCAACCACCTTGGGAACAAAAGAATCTGATTTCCAAGAGGTAAGGAGATGATAAGGTTTCGAAAGATTAATAAATAAAGAAGTAAAAATATAACATTTTTATTATTTTGTTTAAGTTGTCAGACCAAAATTCTTCGCATGTGAACGAAGAAGAAAACATTCGAGATTCGGAGGAAGCTGAAGTAGAAAATTCTAATAGTCATGCTCCCGAATCAAATCTTGAATTTCTTTTACAAGCAGTCGAATTGGTATCGCCGATGACTGAGGTTTCTCTATCTAAAGAAGATTCCCCATCCCGCGATGATTTTCATTTGATTGAAAAATTATAGGGTATGTATTTTATATTTTTGTATTTGGTTTTTTTAGTTATCAGGACATTAAATTGGACATTCTCTTTCGTTATTTTAGCAAATACTATGATGTCTCTTTAATATAGTGGTTTCTCTTTGATGTTATAATTTTGATAAAGGTACATTATTTATTGTAACAAGAACTTTAAAATGTATTTATTATATTTTTTTTTATATATATATTAACTTTTATAAAATTTCTTTAAACAAAATAGTATCAGAACTTTTGTAAATAACAATCAGAAATTAACAAAATAATATAGAAAAAATATATTATATTAGAAATATATTGATTTCAACAATAATAAAAAAATCATAAAACATTCAAAATAATATTTTTGTTTTAATAAATTATGAAATTCATTCAACACAAATTTTGCGATCACATGATCGTAGTTTATAAAAATTATAATCCCTTTTAAATAAAAACTTATAATATCATGATTAGTAATTTTAAAAAGACATTTATCGATAAAAGTTACACTCATCCATTTATAAAAAAAAAAAAAAAAATTGATTGAAGTATTATTTATAATTTGGCGGAGACATCAAATGGTCAAAATTATTCTATTCAAGACAAGGACGCAGCTCGAGAACTGACTGCGGTTCAAACATCACGTGATAGATAACGTTTGTTCTGAAAGCAAGATATGCCAATGAGTATACTGTAGCCGCATAGGCTTATTCGAAAAATGTACCCGTATTATTGTTAAAAATAGCATAGCCATTAGGTTTATTGCTTTATTCTGTATTGAACATTATCAAAAGCCTACGTAATAATGTAGCAGAAGGCTCGATTCTTCAAGTACTAGAAGCTAATCTTTTCCTATATGAAGTAGAGTAACAACATATTATTAAATTGTAATATTAAATTGTATTTCCCATAGTGACCATAGTAATCGGATACAAGTTTCGTCTTAAGCATAAGCATAAAAAAAATTAGACAGCATTTCATTTTATTTTGAGCTCAATCATAGTTGGCTGCGCCACAGTATAATACATGATCACCAAAGGTATTGTAAATAATTATAATTAAACTATCATTTTAATAATTTTAATAAGTACTTTCATAAGACTCAGAGAATTCTTGCTGCTGAACAGGAGGAGGTGAGGGAGCAACAGGAGTCTCTGTTGTAGGTTTTTGGAAGTCCTCGGAAATTGGCGCTGTAATGAGCGGCTCTTCCTTGGCATCCTATTTCAATAAAGTATTCAATATTAAGAGTGTGATAGAAAACTTAAATAATTATTAAAGTAATAAAAGAATTGACATACCGAAATATGAACCATATCGGGTAGAGGGTTCTTTGGTCCAGCTTTACCAGTTGGATCCTGATCCTAAAATAGAATTTTTCAGCGTTATTTTTATATGAAAAATACAATAAAATTTTATAATTAAAAAAATTTCCAGACTACTGTACCTTCATGATCTTGACCTTAATACCCAAAACACCTTGCCTTAACATAACGTGTCGGATAGCAGTGTCTACATAATCACGAATTGGCTGACCGGAATGGATCATGAACCCATCAACAAATTTCATAGATTTTGCACGGGCCGCACGTAATTTTCCAGATACAACCACTTCGCATCCTTTTGCGCCTGATTCCATAATGAAACGCAAAACACCATAACAAGCTCTATATATTAAGATCAGAAAATTTATAAATAGATATTTTTTTATTTATTTATTTTTTTGATATACCTTCTTACAGCAAGACCGGCCAATAATTTGTATCGAAGAGATTCACACTGAGCAATAGCACAAAGTCCCCGGTTTTGTACTTTTTCAGCATATAACTCGACAG